GTTTATTAATACAATATAATGCAAAATACATATAAGTTTAATTTTTAAAACGTATTTTATCATAAAATAAAGTGAAATGTTTTTATTAAAAAATTTTAGTTTCGGATCTCGTACATTTTTTGGAAAGAAGTATTCATCTTTAATAACCTTTCCTACACTCGATGATTAAAAAATTAGCTCACAAGAATAATTTAAGAATAATTTATCATTGTAATCCTACGATTTATAGAATTCTACAAAATGATAAGAAGAAAGGAAACCGTAACAATAGTACAGGAGTGTATTCTATTCCTTTAAGTGACCACTGTTTTAATTCAGATCTCGTTTACGTTGGTGCCACTATGAGACTTTTAAAACAGAGGCTTAAAGACCATCTTTAATTGTTTACATTTTTGTTTTCTTTCATTGAGAATTTCGGAATATGGTCGAATATGATGCTCCTTTTTACATTTGCACTTCTCTCCCAATCATTGTCTAACTCACAAAGTTCATCCATCAAACTTTCCATTGTTGAAAGGATACATTAACCCGACATAGAGCTACAGACAAGCGGAGACACTGATTGGTCGACCACTGGTTGCCGTAGCCCATATATAAGGTCAGTTTGAGCAGGAAAATTGAAGGTGGCTAAGAAGAGATAGATATCGTCTGGCCAATGAAAAGTAGATTTGTCTCACTAATGATGATTTGTGATCGCTGGAAGTGCTACTGCGTCGTAAAGTGTTTTCCTGAACGATCTGATACGGGATACATTCATTGGCACTATTGATTCAGACACCATTTGTTGGACTATTAAGTTTAATAACTTGACTCGTGGGTACCTAAATGTTTAGTATTTTAATATTAATTTAATGCAAATGTATGCATACCCAATAATATTAAACAGAAAATCTTTTGTAACTAATATACAATGTTGCGGCTCGGTAAATACGTCGACACTGAAATGAAAATCAGTCTAGCATAGGGAAAATTGGGGAATTACACCGCGAAATGGTGAATTGCGCAGCGGAGTTATTGTGAATCGACATAAATTGAGCCAGCATAAACCGAGGGCTACTTGTATTGCACTCACTTTTTACTCACTTATTCTGTATTTCAACTCACTTTTCTCACTTTTTCAAAGGGGAAATGGCACTCCCGGGCCTGCAATGGGGTTTGGAATGTCGAGCATGATTCCACTGGCTATCCAAATACCATTGTCAAACTTCTAGGCTTACAGGAAAGTGAATGTCCAACATACATGTTTTTGCATTTAAAACTTCGGCCTCAACCTTGCTATTGCTTCAGCATTCTATACTGTAGCTAGGTTCGCACCAAGATAATTTTGCATCCCAAGCAGATTCCATGTATGATGTCCCCTGAGGTTTTTTTATACTTACAAACTTTCTAATTACAAGTAAGACCAGTTACATCATTGCAATTCCGGGCTGCAATTTTTAAACATATTTTAATTAATTGGGTCTTCAGTTCCTAAGCTTATATCTGGTGTCAATTTTCATCTATCTAACTCCATTCTCAAGATTAAGAAAGAACAGGTAGACAGTGGGAACTATAGGTCTCCAATTTGAAAATTGCAGCCTTATAAGTATTTCTTCAAAGTATTAGTAATTTCATAACTTCAATATTTCTATTTGTATTAACTCAGATATATGACATAAAAAAGAAACACACAAAAATGGTTACAAACAAAAATTATTGATTTTTGACTGTAATTTTAATTTAATCAGTTAAATTCACATATTTTTTCTTCTTGATTTTAAATCTGCAAAAGCTTTTATTCTTTCATTAATGTCTATTTTCTGAGCAACATCATTTTCAATAGATAATAAGGCTAAATTTTGTTTGTTTATTAAGTTACATCAACGTAACACTTGGGCAATCCGACTAGGGAGGATGTCTTCTAGGAGGTTTTTTAAGGGTAATTGACCCCTATTTATGTGTTACAGATGTGAAGAAAACCCAGAAACTCCATGTGGCCAGCCCATCCTGGCAAGGCATGAACCCATGACTGAACTCCCAGTGTTCAGGGAATGGAGCCACTTGGCCATGGTGGGCCAACAAGGCTAAAGAATTTAATCTCTGTCTCCCCATTGTCAATCACAAATGTGTTTTGATAACTTAATTTTCTGAAACATCTTTCAGCTAATACTATCATTACAGGGATTGTCAGCAGAATTCTCAATACAACACCTTGTATTTGAAACTATATTCTGTAAATTGCTTACTTTTAAAAATTGTAGTTTGTAATAGCAAATTGAAATTTTCTAGAAGTAAACTGTTCAGAGATTTAATTTCTACAAAGAATTTGTTCTTTGAAGAATTAAAATCTTTAAACAATGTCTCTACTATTTTCATCATTAAGAACTGAATGCAAATCCATACAATGTTTTTTTAATTTGTTTAAATTGTCTATTTTAGTTAAATTAAAAAGAAAATCCAATTTTGTTCAAGTTTTTATTTGTTCAAATCTTTGTTCAAGCAATATTGTGTCTAAAATAATATTGACTATCATTGTTCTAAACTTTGTTTTCTCACTATATCTCTAACTGCAATACTATAATACACCAAAGTACTCAGAAACCTTTATAATGCAATCTATTTTGTTAACATACCAAACATTTTCGGTCAAATTAACTGACCTTCAGGATCGAACCAAAAAATTTAAAATTTTGACCGAAAATGTTTAATACATTAACAAAATAGACTGCATTATGAAGGTTTCTGAGTACTTAGTTTTCTCTTCAGTAACAACAATGGTGTCTTTAGTTTTGTAATTAAATAATTTCTTTTTTATGAATTATTTTTTTCCTTGCAAATATTGGCACAATTCCTAAAAGTTTTGCTAATTCTTCAGCTTGAATCAAAGCATTTTCAAATACTTGCATACTGTATTGACTATGGCAGTGGTTCCAATTAGTTTTTTCTGTGTACCACTTCAAGAAAGAGCTCAAACTCGCGTACCTCTTATAGTAGAAATTCATATTAATCCATACTAATACAATATTATAAATTTGAAGGTAATTCTGTCTGTCTGTTACCTTTTCACATCTAAACCACTGAACAGGTTTTAATAAGATTTGGCACAGAGATAGCTTACATGTTGGAGATGGACATGGGCTACATTTTACTGTGAGAAAATATATTACTCCCACAAGAAAATTCGATATAATGTGGGCGAAGCTGAGGGTAGACAGCTAGTGATAAATAGAATAAGTTTTTTTTACATTTATTACCTTTAAAATACAATTCTAATAATAATGAAAATAACATAAGGTTATTTAATTTTAATGTGACAAATATGCATGATTTTCTTTGCACAATTTTGTAAAATCCAGTTGCTTTTTGGTCAGCTTTAATCTCAAGTCATCTTTGAGTTGAAGTCAGAGATATTTAGTTTTCATGTTTGTCATCGCTGAAAATCCGCTCTTGCAGAGGTATGTTGTGCAAAATGGTAGTAAATATTTTATTGCCGCTTTGTTGACATGATAATGATGATAATTGTACAATTAACACAAATTGTGTTAATTGTACAATTTTTGTTTCTTGCAATTTTTTTTTAATTTAGGTATTGTCACAAATGCATTTTTTTGATGAAATTTCAAGAATATTTTTAGTTATAATTAAACGAATTTGTGCATTCGACATCATGTTGTAAATTGCCAAATTTTTGATGGTCCACCCATTATTTTTTTGATTGCTTCATCTCATGCATTTAAATTTTAAATTGACCGATTTTAGATTGTTGCACGTACCCCTTTATGCAATTTCACGTACCCCATTGGGTACGTGTACCACTAATTGGGAACCATTGGATTATGGTATTCTGTACATGATTTTAATAAAATAAGCCAGTAAGACAAAGGAGAAAGACAGATAGAAAGCAGAACATTATAGAAACTTATACAAAGTATAAAATTAAAATATATACAGTGGTGCCTCGTATAACGTACTCTGCAAACAACGGACTTTCTGTTTGGCTGTTACATGACTCGGGCAACGGACTGGCTGCGAACAAGTACGAATGATGTTTCCACTCTTTTGCTGTTGCCAATGACAATGTCTGCTATTTTTATGATATATTAGTATTATTAGAATATGTTATTAGTATATCTGAAGTACAGAGTTCCCGTTGGGATTCCTCTTGCTCCCTTGTTTATTACGTACATCACCTCGGTGCAGGGTATTTACATTTATTCAAATGTTGTGCAAATTATGGCTCCTAAAAAAACAGAAAGGTGATTTCAATTGAAACAAAGCAAGAAATCATCAGAAGGAGTGAAAGTTGACAAAAACTTCCTTGTCAAATGGGGAGAGGTTCAACAGTTTACCAACACTCATTATCCAAACACAGCTGAGGCCAACAGGATCAATGATCTCTACAATGACACCCTTGCCCGTCATTCCTGACAGGTGTTGAAGAAGAGAGAGAAACAAACCACCTTGGACATGTTTTTCAAGAAGCCAGCTGCCAAAATACAAAGGATGGAACAAGAGGAGTTGATCCTGCAAGCTCCAGTAGCCTCTCCTGAATCTGACTTCGATTAAAAAACAATAAAAAGAGACCCGCTGCAATGTGTAAAAAGTCTGTATCTGTGTGAAGAAAGTGTTTCTCCATCTCCTCTTCACATCATCTGACTACCTGGCATAATTGGTGACTGCTCCATTTTTATTTTTTTTATGGTACAGTATCGTTATTTTATGCTACGGAATGAATTATAAGTTTTAACAGGTATTTTTATGGGAAAATGCATTTCATATAACAGACTTTTCACTTAATGGACTTGCACCTGGAACGGATTAAGTACGTTATTCGAGGCATCACTGTATAAATATAGCAGGTGATTGTCACAGATATTTCTGTATATGCTTTAAGAATGATGGTAAATTATTTTATGTTCCTTCAATATTTGCATCTTTTTGGAGCAGAAAGAAGAATAGCAATGCTTTAAATGCCAGCCTTAGTTTTGGTGCCCCAAGCAAGTACCCGATCAGCCTGCTCTTTAATCTGGCATTGGCTGTGTAGCATGATGAACACAGGTTAATCTGGCCAGTTCATTTATTTTTGTTATTGTTGGATGGAGTGCCTTTCTTTGATTCTCTTCCATGGTGTTAGTAATGGAGGTTGGTGGCTGAAACAGAGGAGTCAATACCTGTCACAACAACTGGGCCATGTTCAAATGAACATATAACATGCCCTCTGAGACGGAGTGAAATTAAAAGATTTGAAATTCTGTTTAAAAAACCCCTCGATGTGGGTTCCTGTCCGTGGTGAGGGGACCTCCCAGAGATGGTTTAGAAACTCCTCTTTACTATCCCTGGGATCTGAACGCCCACCCACGTGTTTGCCGTGCGTGGTATCCCATATGCCGGAAAGGGGGATCCTGGTAGTTGAGGGGCAACACATCGTCCCCAACACACTACTTTGGCCCCTGCTTCGGATAAACGGGAGGCTCAAATCAGGCTCCGTTTGAGTCAATCGGCTGGTCGTTGAGTCATTCTTGACCTCGGCTTGGAGTCAACTGATCGATGCAGACCGGGTGGACACGTCAGACAAGATGTGCTCTCCTTGACTGCATTGTGAGGGTATAGCTCCTGGGAAACCCTGGTGTGACGGTCTATGGGACTCTCCCATGTGATGGCATCCCCTTGTTGGGCCCCGTGGTGGGTGGGGTCACTAGGAGCTGAATAATTATTTCTAAATATGGATTCATTAAAGAACAAACAAACAAGTACTAATGCTTCATCAAAGCAGGTTAGTTCCAACCAACCATCATATCTCATCGTGCATGCCACAGGAGAAACTCCTTTATCTAAACGTTCCCAGTTTTTGATTCAAAAACTCTTTGAATCGACCATTGGGCATCTTAAAAAAATCCAAAAGTTAAGGTCAGGAGATCTGCTAGTAGAAGCAGCCTCCCCTCAACAGTCAGAAAAACTATTAAAAATGAAATCTCTAGGAGACATACAAGTCACCATCGCACCACACACAAGTATGAACTCATCACGTGGTGTGATATCTGAAATCGATTTGATGTCTGAGGACGAATCCGATATTCAGATAGGCCTCTCAGACCAAGGTGTCACTGCTGTTCGACGAATTTCAATCCGTCGAGATGGCAAGTTGATACCAACTAAACACCTTATCCTCACCTTTGGAAAACCGTCATTGCCATCTTTTGTTACTGCAGGCTATTTGCGCTGTTCACTTCGCCCATATATTCCAAACCCGCTGCGTGGCTTTAAATGCCAGCGGTTTGGACATTCACAAACATCCTGCCGAGGTAAAAGCTTATGTGCACAGTGTGCAATTGAAGGACACCAGAGTACTGAGTGCACCAGTACTCCACGCTGTGTAAACTGCAACGATGCCCATCCTGCCTACTCTCGGAAATGCTCTGCATGGCAGAGAGAGAAAGAGATTCAGCGGGTTAAAACTGTAAACAA